ACCAATAGCCTGAAAAATGCCTATGTTTTTGATACATTTTGAATAAAGGGGGATAGCAGATGGATATTGAGAATGTTGGCTCCACCCCAGCACTCACAGGCAAGTGTAACCAAAATGGTACATGAGGAGGTAGAATTGGCTGCTGGTATAGGCCAGCAAACTACCATCCCCTATCAAAAAAGGAGATAGTAGGGAGGAGGGGACACTGCAATTCAGAGAAGGGTCTTTGAGGTCCAGTGTTACTTGAAATTCTCCTAGGATGTTGTAACTATATGCACTACCCTCTTGGTGAGGACAGGGTCACAGTCTAGCCATAGGGCTCTCAAACTATGGGTCAGGACCCAAAAGTGAGTCATGACCTTGTTTTAATGGGGTTGCCAGGGCTGGCTTAGACTAGCTATGGCCCAGGACCAAAGATGAAGTTGGAGCCTCATCTCCCTGGGCTGAAGCAGAAACCCTTGCGTTATATGCCTGAGCAGTGGTGTTCAGGTTACAGACCCCCCTTTCTGCAGCTGAAGCTCTTGGGCTTGGCCCCTCACCATCAGGGACAGTGAGGTTCAGGCTTTGATTCGCCTCCCCACCCCAGGGCAGCAGGGCTCTGTGCCTGTTCCTGGGGCTGTGTAGTAATTTGTTCTCAGAAAGGGGTCACGGTGCAATGAAGTTGGAGAATCCCTGATGGCCCATAACCTCCATGCCTCAGTTTCCTGAACTCAGTTTCCTAGGGAACCCTAGTCCCATACATTACCCACAAAACAACTGAAGATACATTAGACTGACAGAAGATGCTGCTGCTGCTTTGAGTTCCAGTCTGAACACAGGATTCCTTTTTAGGTGAAGTTATAAATCTTCACCATCCTCACCCTGAAGTGGCTAGCTGATACCTTTCTGAACACCTCTATTAATGCACATACAGAAAATCAGAAAGGTAAGTCTGTAACAATGTTGTGTTTTGGTCTATGTTTATTTTAGCCCATAACATTCATAGTCAAATGTGCCTCATTTAGAAGTCATCTGCAGGGTTACGGATTTTGTTATTTTGAGACTATCTACCTTACAAATGTAACCTGGGGTGCCTTAAAAGTAAGGTCAGGTCTATACTACAGAACTATAATGATATAACCACACTGCACAGGGGTATAAAAACAATCCAGCTAACTACTCCAGGTTCCAGTCCATGGACCCTACGTCTAGGAACTATGGTCTGCTAGTTCCCAGACCATGTGGCTATTTCCCTGTACTCCTTCTTACTTCCTTGTTCTATGTTCTGCCCCTCTTAGATTTACCAGTCCAAAGTTCATCCTCTCAGGCTACGTCTACACTGCAAGGTTTTTGCTCAAAAATAGCTGTTTTTGCACACAAACGTGTGGAGCGCCCACACCTCAAATGCGCTTTTGTGCAAGGAAATCAAGAGTAAAATGGCAGAACAGAGGGCTTTTCTGCCACAGGTAAACCTCCTTTTATGAGGCATAACTTCCTTTTGCGCAAGAGTTCTTGCACAAAAAGGCAAGTGTGGATGCTCCAGAAGGGTTTCCGATGGGAAAAAAACACAGGTGCTCTGATGGCCATTGTTAATGGCCATCAGAGCTTTCTTGTGCAAGACCATCCATGCAGTGTGGATGCTCTCTTATGCAAAAGCACATTGCTTTTGTGATGTGCTTTGTGGTGTGGATGTGCTTTGCGCAAAAGGTTTCTTGTGCAAGAAGCATGTAGTGTAGAAATAGCCTCAGGGAATAACTATAGACTACTTCCTTCTAATTTCTTCACAGACTCTTACACTCCCACTCCTCCAGGGAAGTCTGGCCCACGAAAGCTCATCACCTAATAAACCATCTTGTTAGTCTTTAAAGTGCTACATAGTCCTGTTTTTTGTTCCTCCAGGGAGTTACTGCAGACCATTTCCCAAGGGCAGTTAGCTTTTTCTTAGCTAGCTGGCTGGCTTTACACAAGCTCAGCCTGCCCCTGCCAGCTGGGTCTTGTCATCAATTGGCCTTTGAAGCCCTGATTCTCCCACAGGTGCTGCTCATCATGTTAATTGACCTAATTTAACTTTTGTTCTGCCTTGTGTGGTGTGGACAGCCTATCACACATGGCACTGACTTTGTGGCAGTCAAAAAACAAAACTCATTTTATTTCATTGTATTCTTAAGAGCCAAATAACTTTTGTTTTGGAGGTATTCTATTTCACCCGCAATAGCAAAGCAGTATTATGACTATTACACTCTACAGCCAAGGTGTGCTCTTTTTTTTTTTTTAAAGAGAAGTAATTTTGGGTGCCCACATTGAGCTAATTTAATGAGGCCTAAGGATGGGTGCTGAGCACTTTCTGGCAATCAGGACATTTTAAGGTATTTAAAAGTCACCAGTTACTCTGGGAAAATCTTAGGTTGATGTAAATATACAGGCCAACAAATAAAGTAGCTTAAACCAAAGTCATTTTAGTAATTAAAACTTATTGCAAAAGCAGCATAACATAATTACTTGCTGTCAATGTGCATCTTCTATCCATTGCCCTCAAAGCTGCTTGATAAAGTTAGCCTCCCCATACACCTGTGAGGTAGGCAAGCACGATCATCCTGATTTTATAGATGGGGAAACGGAGGCAGAAAAGATTGTCCTACGGTCACAGTCTGGAGCGGAGAATAAACTGTGGGAATAACCTGTGATCTATATCAGGGAGAGGCAGCATTGCCCAGTGGAGAGGGCACTGACTAGGAATCAGGACACTGGTTTTATTTCAGCTCCACTATGGGCTTGCTTTGTGATCTGGGTGAGTCTCCTAACCTTTTTGCCTCAGCTGCTTTTTCTGGAAGATGGGGCTAATGAAACTTACTAGGCTACGTCTAGACTGGCATGATTTTCCGCAAATGTTTTTAACGGAAAAGTTTTCCATTAAAAGCATTTGCGGAAAAGAACGTCTAGATTGGCACGGACGCTTTTCCGCAAAAGCATTTTTGCGCAAAAGCATCCGTAGCCAATCTAGATGCGCTTTTGCACAAAAAAGCCCCGATCACTATTTTCACAATCGGGGCTTTTTTGTGCAAAACAAATCTGAGCTGAGTCCATATAAAAGGACTTTTGCCCAAATGGGAGCAGCATAGTATTTCTGCAAGAAGCACTGATTTTAGACAGTAGGAAGTCAGTGTTCTTGCGCAAATTCAAGCGGCCAGTGTAGACAGCTGGCAAGTTTTTCCGCAAAAAAATGCAGCCACTAGTGTTTTGAGATCTATAATTGAAAAGTGCTTGATAAAAGAGCAGGGATACTAGAACAGTTTTTATAGTGGGAGTGCTGACACATGCTGCACCAAACTGGAAACCCTGTGTATAATGGAACCACCTCAAGCCAGGGAGTGCGACAACACCCCTTGCACTACCCATTTCTGCACTTATGTAAGAGAGTCAGTTTTCACTCTAGCGCAGAAGATGGACCCAGCTCTCCTGATTCTCTGCTGTGTGCTACAAACTGAGCAATTTAGCCAGACTCCTGATGAAAAGACTACACAATAAATCTAGGTAAAGGTAAATCATAAAAGGTAACTGGAGCTATTCTGTTTCCCTAAGTACTAGTATAGTTGTCATCCTGGATATTATCAAGACTTGTGAAGCCTTTTATTAGCATACAAATTGTATAAATATGTATTTTCACAGTAAAATGGATGACTCATTCATGCACTTTGCAATCTACCAGATAGGGCGCAATGCTCAATACTATGTATATAGCAACAGATGCTTGGTGTGTTGATTCATTTGCGCAGCACAAACACAATGGGATAAAAGAAACTGTTTTTGCAGATACCAATGTAAAGGACTTCACATCCTTGACAAGATCTAGGTCAAATTAAATGCTGGTTTTTAAAGCCGTGTCTCTGGCAAACCACAGTTATTACACTCTCTGGGAGAACCCTGCCTCTGGCCATTATGTTCGCTGTAATAGTCTCTGTTGTAAGGGGACTTACCGCTTATTCTGTAAGTGACAATAAATACTCTCATAGCCCCATGCACAGTGCTCAGAACAGGTGAGAAAACCTTTGCCCTGCCTGCCCTGTATAGAGCTTTCAAGAGGAAACCTCTGCTTTCCCAAAGTTCCAGACAATGTGTGTGCATAAAATGTATCCCACTGAAATGCTGAATTGTACAGGTAGACTGCTGTCCACCCTGTTAGTCAGTGGAGGAAGCTTCTTTTGCTGACTACCTCACCCCAATGTACAGAGAGACCTAGTAGCTTCCCACACATCAGTACGCCCCCCACTTTGTCCTCGCCAGGAAAGCCTCACCAATACGCCCCCCCTCTCCAACTCTTTTGGTGCTTTCAACACCTAAGAGAGGAAATGCAAGTAGACTGGATTCAATCCTGTGCACAGATCCCTTTTCTTAACTTCCTTCTCATGTTTATCAGCATCTCGCAGAGTGAACCACAGCTATGGAGAGCTGTGGGGGGGCTGTGCTTTGGGTTGCTCAATGTAAATGAATGGTCTTGAGGCCCCCAGGGACTTACCCTCAGGGGCCGGGTATGGCCCAATGCCCATAAGTTCCCCACCACTGTTCTAGCTACACTCCTGCTGCTTTATTGCTGTCTTGCACTGCAAACTCCTATCTAGTTTACTGTCCTCTAAGAGCGCCAAGCCTTTCCATGAAATACCCTTTTACTGACTCTCTGCAGCTGAATTTATTATTTTCCAGAGTTTTTTTTGCATTTTTTGTAGGCTGAATTTCATTGCATTTAGGGAATTAGTATAGCTAAGGCAATGCAGTGGGACTCAAGAGACCTAGCCTCTAACCACCAAGGCTCTCCCATTGACTTGCTTGGTGAACACGAGCACGGCATTTCACTACTCCATGCCTCTCTTTCTGCTCGCACACCTTCACTCTTCGAGCAGGAAGTTATTTGGGACACAGACTGTCTATCACCGTGTGCTTGTACAGTCCCTAGCCTGACGACATCCCCACTTCATTAGGAGCCCTCTCTGTGTTACTGTGACACAAATACATTTCTGCACATCTTTCTGATCTTCTTAGATCTGCCTTTCTGAGTGCAATCTGTTATTTACCAAACTGTCCCCTCCTTCCAGAATATTAATAAAGATGGAAAATACTGGTCCCTCCAACACCCCACTAGATGCATTGGTGTTTACGTTTGCAGGCTTCACGTCTGTAGCTCAGTTATCAACCCAAGCAAACACTCCTCAATGAGTGAATATTTTAAGTAGGATTCCACAAAAAACTATTATCAAATGTTTTGTTAAAACCTAAGTGCCTGATCTCCTTACACTGAAGTCAATAGCAAAGCTCACAGAGCATGATTAGGCCCTATCGTACATCTACATATACTCCTTGTATTCACTGAGTCTGTAATTCTGTCGGACACAGGAATTAAGCTTGTATTCCTTGACTTTCATTCAAGTCATAAGTGTACTGGTCATTCTTCCTCCCGGTGATAAGAGAACATTGTGACTTACCAGAGTAAAATCCAGACTAATGAGTAGTTGTGTCACACCAACCCTGTAACCTGTGATGCCCTTTACTTTGCTTTGCTGGTATATCTTCCAAACTGGATTGCTCACAAACAGCCCCCAGGATGCATAGCACTCCCAGCTTCACCTGTGTATGTGCTGTAGCCAGCCAGACACAGCTGGGCTCCTACCAGCCTTAATATTATCACAGTGTGACCCCAGCACATTCCCAGTCTCAGATTTTCATCTTGACACACGTCTTGTACTGCCCAACTCATTCCCGGGCAGTACAACTCTACTGAGTTAATTATTCCTACAAGGGACTAATATGTGCAACTTGTTACTCCCAAATGGAGTTACCCAAGCAATTCACCTGAAATGAACTAAATTAGATAAAACAATTTAAAAAAATCTAACAACTATAAAGAGGAAGGCTTCAAGTGAGTACAAATAGGAAGGCATAAAAGTCAGAAATGGTTACAAGAAAAATAGAGATAGAACACTTGCTAGCGCCTAACAAACTATATTAGATGTAAAACAAAGTTTTCTTACCTGATGCTTTCAGAAACTTTACTGGCCAAAGTCATTTGGTCAGGCCCCATTCTGCAGAGTCCAAGTTGCTCCCTGTCTCTTCAGGTGCAGTGAATGTGATAGGCAGGGAGCAAGGAGGGTGACTTAGGATATTTGTCCCTCTATTTTACCATTTCAGTCCTCTTGTTGAAAAACATTTCCAGCTGAGAGCCAGAAGACAAATAGTCTATGTTGTAGGGTGTTCCCTGCTGTTTTTTTCTGTCTGTTTCAACTTCCTTTGTTTTCACTCCCTGCTTGATGAGTCCGTTTACTGATTAAATGCAAATTAAGGCAAGCATGCGTTCCTTCTTTTGTTTAGGAGAAATTTGACTTCTGCCTTGGCAGGACTGCAGGGCTGCTTGGAACATGTATTAACATCATACAGGGGAATCTGATAAACTCCTTACAAGATGCCAAACATATGTTACCAGGACAATACAGACAAGCAAATTACGAGCTTCCAGATGATACCTTCTTACAAGGAGTATTTTGTGCAAAAATTATTAAGATGGTGTGCAGGTGTCAATACTGGGATGTATTCCATCACAAACATGTCTAAACATTTTTCCTTGAGATATTGTCAACTAATATCTGTTTCCTAGTTTGCTTGGGACAAGGTTCAATTAACAAGAGAATCACTCAGAGATTTATTTTTCCTGTTTTGAAAGTTGGAACTAAGCCAGTTTCTCTTCTCTCTTCCCAGTCCTTTGAAACTTTCTCTGCTGCCCATGATTTTGCAAAGATAACAGTGGTTCAATAAGTTAATTAGCTAATTCACTTTACAGTGTGAAGTGCATGTATCACCTGAATATGGAGATTGGTAGGAGCTCAATCTCCCCAAGCATTTTTTACCTGCTTTTAATCTACAATTATATTTACAAGTTCCTAATTACTTTTTGATGATCCATTCTTTTTTCCCTTACTTTTCTTATTAAAAAGATTTTCAAACCAATGCATCATTGTCCCACATGATTCAGAGGCTAAGGTAGGATTAAATAAAGTCAAAGGAAAAATATATGTAAGGGGTTTTCTCTCCTGTTGATTCAGGGATTGCCTTCTACTAGTGTTATATAGGAGTTATGCAACTGTATTCTGCAGTTCTGTGCATGTTACATGGAGAATAAAAGCCAGCTAGAGGGGCTATTCCTTTAGGACAAGCAATATAGAGTCTCCTTCAGTATTGGCAAGTTCTAGCTTTGCTTCCCACTGAGGAGCCATGACAGAAGATTGTTACACTCATCGATTTTTGTATAAGCATTCATAGGAGACTGAGCCCAATAGAGCAGTGTTGCCCTACAGTTACCAAAGCTATGATGAGTAAAACTAAGAGGTAACCAGTTGCAGGGAGTTGTGGGAATTCTTTGAGAATTTTGTCACTGGTACCCTGTCTGGTTCATCCAAATGCCAGTTTAAGGAGCACTCTGAGTCATACAGAATCAAGACATCAAGCCCACAGAAAAATTTAACTATTGTTTGATCAGCTCTATTGATTTCCATGCATGGAAGAGTCTGTGGACATCTCGCTGGCACAGAAAGATAGAATCGTAGAACTGGAAGGGACCTCAAGAGATCATCAAGTCCAGTCCCTTGACAGTAGTGCTTGTTCTTCCTTACATTCCCTAAATGAATCCAGGTGCAGTCTGAAGAAAAGAAGGCCAGTCAGGTAGTCAAGAAGTAGCAATCAGAAGTAACAGGTTCTATCCCCATATACTTCCTGGGTAGTTCTGAATAACTCTAACGGCAAAGCCTTCTGTGCTCAGTTCATTTTTCCCAAAAGAGGGATATTATATACTTCACAGGAATGTTGTGAGGCTAAACCAAGTATCAGAGCTCCTCAGATGGAAGGTGTTACAGAAATACTTAGTAGGTTTATGGAGAGCAATCATTCTAGATACAAATGAGTTCTTGGGTACTTTTTCTCCAACACTAAAATCAGTCAAGCAAACAGTTCATTAAAAAAAGTGCTAAGTGGGGATGGTGTTCCTAGTTTCTGTTTGCTAAGGCTGGGAATGGGCGACAGGGGAGGGATCACTTGATGATTACCTGTTCTGTTCATTTCTTCTGGGGCACCTGGCATTGGCCAATGTCAGAAGACCGAATTCTGTGCTAGATGGACCTTTGGTCTGACCTAGTAGGGCTGTTCTTATGGTCTCACAAACACAAACAGCTCCTATAGTCAACTATACAAAAAATGAGCTTTGCACAACAGCAAAGACACTCATTTAAAAATGTAATCCTGCAGTCCCCAGCCAAGTAAGAGTGATACTGAAGTAGGATGGAGTTGGCCTCAATAAGAGTTTTGCCTGATAAAGTATTGCAGGAGTGAGACCAGAACAAGCACTTCCATTCTGTAAGAGTAGGAAGTACAACGGTGGTCAGAGAGTCAAGTAGCTACAAAGGAAAGTTGTGATCCAGGAAGTTCAAAGCCAGTATGCTGAAAGATAGTGTGAATAAAAAACCCTCACGGCATACAGTCTTGTGTCCCAGTGTAAAAAGTGGGTAAAAGCTGGGTCTTACTTACCGAGAAGCCATCTGCTGCACTTGAGTTAGAAGTCACCTGAGCAGATTAATTGCAGAGAAACAACCTGTCAGAAATAAGCTATATGGTGATCAACTAGCAATGCAATAGCAATGGTTCTAATTTTAAGAGTTGTGGTTGACTAACAATTTATCAACAGCCTTCCTAATCTACACTTGCCACAATGAATGATGTTTGTATGGTTCTTACATTTACACTTATTTTCTTATATTTGAGATTGTTTTGCTTTTTCATACAGGTGGTCTTAGCCTGCTATACTAAAGTGTCATCTCCCTATTTGGCTCGGTCCCATCATGACTACTAGTCACATCAATTTTTCCATTCACAAATGGTTCTGCATAATTGGATCCAGAACTATACTTGCATTCCTGTCTTTTCCTGACTTTTCTCTATGATTAATCTTCCCCGTTTCCCTGGAGTTGCCCTTGCTATTGCTACCTCCTTAGAAAGCAATCATTCTGGCTTACACCAAGAGAGCTCCACATCTGGCCACAAGGAACCACCATAAACTTGGCTCAAAGGCATTGCCTGGATGCATCACACAGTGCCATTCATCCTCTTGATTATGATGTATTTGCCTATAAGAGTTTGTCCAGTTCTGAATCACTATGGTATATGCTGGAGGTTTCTTTATCTCCTGCAAGGTCTCACGTAAGAGATCCAGAAATGTTTGAAGGAGGCATCATTTAACACGTTTTGCTTGCATGGGAGATTCTCAGAAAACACTTTGCTCTCATTAATGAATTTACTCTACATCAGGGGATTCATAATTAAGTGGACTTAATTTACAAGTCATTTACAAGGTAGTTTACAAACCTTAATGGATTTATTGTCCACTAGTGACAACCATCTGCTGAGGACAGTGCAGTAAGTATAATCTCCATTTCTTAAATGCAGGAGCAGCAGCAGCAGGGATTGATTAAATGACTTGCCAAAGGTCACCCAGGAAGTAGAATTAAGTGTTAAATTACACTTTACCCTACAACCCTTACACTGTCAGTATCACCTTATCCTCTGAAACAGTGCAGCTGATGCCCAGCTACCAGAATGGCTTCAAGATTCTGCAGGATTTCAACTTTCACTGAGGGGGGAAAAAAATCACAGTACATTTCTAGCTCTTTCAGTTTCAAAGAAAGTCTCTCTGAAGTGAACAGAGTGCAATGTAGACTTGTCTTCCTGAGTTGATTTAAACCTTAAAACAGGAGTGGGTAAATACCGGCCCACGGGCTGGATCCAGTGGTGGTTCACTGGGGTAAGCCCCTGGTAGGACCCCGTACTGCCATATTTACCTGTGACTCTGCAGGTATGGGGGATCGTAGCTCCCATTGCCTGTAGATTGCCATTCCTGGCCAATGGGAGCTGCAATCACCTGTACCTGCGGAGGCCCAGGTAAATATATTGGCAGCAGCCCACTAGTGGCTAATCCCAGTGAACCACCACCCTTTTATTGCCCACCCCTTCTCTAAAACAACAACTCTAGAAGGCGTGAACTGCTCCATTTATTTAAGTGGGTCTTAAAGTATGTTCTTCAAGGCTGGCATTAAAAGTTTTTCTACACAGTGCTCTAGTAGTCCACACTATAGGGAAGTAAATGTTACCATTCACTAGCATGTAATGCACTAACTGATCCTCATGGATCCTACTGCAATGTAGTAGAAGTTCTCTAAAGCACATATTGTATTTCTTTCAAACAACACTACAGTAACATGTGTTAAGGAACTTCTAGTGCATGAGTGAACCATACTAGGGCAACTTCTATACTACAGCCTTCTTCCACAAAAGCGTATGCAAATGAAACACAGATTAGCATATTGCCATGCTTCATTTACATAATTAAGGCCCATTTTTGTGCAAGAGGCTTTTACGCAAAAAGGGGCTGTGTAGATGGTTCCTTTTTGTGCAAAACCCCCCTCTTGAGCAAGAGCCGTTCTTCCTGAAAAAATGAGAAAGAATGGTTCTTGTGCAAGAGGGGGTTTTGCACAAAAAGGAGCTGTCTGCATGGCTCCTTTTTGTGCAAAAGCTTCTTGTGCAAAAACGGCTGCTAATTAATTATGCAAATGAAGCACGGCAATATTCAACTCCGCGCTTCAGTATAGATGTAGCACAGGTGTGTGGGTTACACATGCCAGAAGGGTCAATGTGGAATAGTTAGTGCACAACATGCTAACATGTGGTGGCATTGACTTCCCTCAGGTGTGGACTGCAGCATGGTGTAGAAATATCGTAAGATCCAGATTTTCAGTTAATCTTAATACTTGGTTTGCATAAGCACCACATCTTGGTGGTCAACATTAAGGGTACGTCTAAACTACATGCCTCCGTCGACGGAGGCATGTAGTCTAGACACACCCTAAGTATCCCTCTCTTCCCCCAAAGGCAGTAATTATAGCAGACTGCAAAGCACACCCTGACATTTTTCTCATGGATAAAATACACAAAAACAGGGGAATACCTGTAGGGGAATACAAAAACCTGTGGGAGAGAGATAGCTCAGTGGTTTGAGCACTGGCCTGTTAAACCTAAGGTTGTGAATTCAGCCCTTGAGGGGGCATTTTAAGGAATAGGGGCAAATCTGTCAGGGATGGTACTTGGTCCTGCTGTGAAGGCAGGGGACTGGACCTCTCAAGGTCCCTTCCAGTTCTGAGATAGGGGTATGTGTCAAGGTAAAAATTACCTGGGCTTCATTTCCACTAGGAATTTGCATCAGGGGAAACAATCGCATCAGAACTCTACCTGTTTTGCAGTAAAGACCCAGGCCTTGGCTTCACTCCAAAAATAAATGTGTTCTCATCTTGAGTTAGCTTAGTCGATTGAACACGCTTTCTTTTTTTCAGAGTAAAAACAAGGCAATAGCCCATATTGAGAGCCTGTCCCTGTCTTGCAGAGCTTGCAATCTACATGGACAGGGCAGAGAGAACAAAAATCAACATCTCCATATAACAGATAGGGCATCAAAACACAAAAAAAGATTAAGTGACTTGCTCATGATCCCATTGGAAGTCTGCAGCCTTGGCCACAAGAAGACCAGCCTTCCTTTGGTCACATCTTTGCTTGATCCCTCTATTAAAGACACAAGTATTGTTAGCCCCGTGTTAACAGTACCTATACATTTTCCCTCTGGGCCCCCATGCATGCAATTCCCTCCCCATCCCAGTTTACCAAGCACCTGCTATGTCTAGGTCAGTGCCTCTCAAAACCCCACTTTGTCAGAGAGACCCACAAGTAGTGAATTTACAGTTCAAGAGAATCCTCTTCACCTCTGGATTTCCCAGTGTGGTTCATCTTTCCAGAAATGTTATTTTAGACTTTGTCTACACAGTAGCATTAATTCGGAATAATTAATGTTATTCTGAAATAACATAGTCCACGTCTACACACAAGCAGTTATTTTGACATAATGTGGAAATAATGTTGAGCTGGAAGCCTGCTTCCTCCGACTCCTGGAACCCTCATTATATGAGGAGTAAGAGAAGTCAGGGGAAGAGTGCTCTGTCTCAAAATAACTGTTGTGTAGACAGTGCCAAAAGTTACAATAATCTATTTTGACTTCAGCTATGCAATTAGTGCAGCTCAAGTTGCGTAGCTTATTTCGAGTTTAGCCCTGCTATGTAGACTTGCCCTAAGTGTACATCTACGCAGCAAGGGTGGTTTTTTTAACTCACATTAGCCAGCCCATGTTACAACAGCAGACATGGCAACTCTGT